GCCTTGCATGCATGAGGCCCTGGGTTCAATTCCTCAGTACCACATAAGCAAAAAGAAAAAAGCCGGAAGTGGCGCTGTGGCTCAAGTGGTAGAGCTCTAGCCTTGAGCTGAAGAGCTGAGGGACAGCGCCCAGGCCCAGAGTTCAGGCCCCACGACCGGACCCAAAAACAAAACAAAAAAAAGGGTAAAAGAAAGTTCCACTTTGTCCCAGAGTTGGGGGAAAGAGACAGCAGTCCTTTTACTAGTAGGGGGGGCACTTCAGGCAGCTGTCCTTTTTCTCCACCCCCAATTCAGTTGCTTCTAAGATCCCTTCTCCACAAAGGCAGCACGTAAGTCGAAAAACTAAGGCCAAACTAAGGGCTCAAGTGTCCCATGCTCCATGAATCTCTGAATCAGTTTCTCCTGGGTTATGTGAGTGTTCCCCTCCCATCACCTCCATTCTTCTCAATCCTCTGAGCAGGCTTCAGGATGAGTTTGGGAGGAGTGGCTGCCAGAGGAGGAGCAGCTGGGACTGAGTCATGGCAGGAAGCTAAGGAGGGCGGGAGATAACACCAGACAGCTTATAAAGGGACACAGCTGCCCAGAAAATTCCAACAGCAGTAGCAGTAACCAGAGGAACAGGCTTCCAGCAGCCCAGACCTTCAAATCCAGATCTGCCTGAGACAACTCTGCTTCTGGGTGGCGGCGACCAGTCCCTACCCCAGGATGGGGACCATATCCAGAGCAGCCTTGGTTTTTGCCTGCTTGGCTCTTTCTTCTGCCACCTCTGAAGGAGGTGAGTAGGGGTGGGGTCGGCCCTGGGGAAGGGACCTGGCTCTGACAGCTCATCCGCAGCAGGGTGGTTTGCCCTTCCTTTTCTGAGCAGTCCATGGTATGCTTGGGGCACTGCTGCCTTTAACCAGGGAGGCAGAAGCAGGAGAGGGGCTCCTGGAGATTGCTAGTAAAGGAACACAATGTCAGAGTCAGGTAGACAACAGAGGGTAGGTGAAATCAGAGTAAGGGTCAGTGCCTGAGCAAATCTATATGGAGGGGGCTATGAAGCAGGTAAGAAGGGAGAAAGGATCTACACAGGCCACTAAACTGGTCTGCTGACCCAGGGAGCCTTAACTGACTCCTTGGTTAGAGGAAGAGTCAGGGTAAATCCACCCGCAGACTTTTCTACCTGGCACTTACATACTACCTGCTTTGATCCCTAACCAAATGGAATTCCAGCAGAGAGGACTGTTAAAAGATATAAATAGATCAAATCCATTTCTGGTGGAATTCTGTCGTTGTCCCTCCCAGTTCTTAGTCTTGGGCCTGTGGATCAGCTGTAATTGATTCCTGTCTGACTCAGTCCCTCAAGTCCTAAGTTGAGACCCAAACCAAGGAAGAGCTAAGACCACAGGGAAGTGCTTAAGCTGCCTGGGCCCCTCCCCAGAATATCTAATGATGTATAAAGGCCTAGAAGGCTAGGTAGGGAAGAGGATGTGCACAGGTGAGCTCCCCCTACCTGTTCCAAGTCAGACTTAAAAAGATAGACAAGCACCACAGTGAGCCCTGGGTGGAGCACAGCCATAAGCCCTGAGGGGGAGACACTGAAAGAGAAAATTAGGGACTCCCTTCTCAAGTCTCACTTGTCATATTCCTTTTAGGCTCAACCTCTGAGCCAGGTAGAGGTGCTGGCCATCAAAATATCACAGATTTTCTCAGGACCCAGTCAGTCTAGGTGTGTTTGTAGAGGAGATTATGGGATGCAGGGAAGGTGCCATACTTAAGTGGCTTCCATGTCTTAATCTTCTTTCCACACTTAGTCCCTTATTCAAAATTTCCCCTGACAGCTAGGAGTATAAGCTCAAGCCTGTAATCCTAGCTACTCAGGAAGCTGAGATCTGAGGATCCCAGTTCAAAGTTAGCCTAGGCAGGAAAGTCTATGAAACTCTTATCTCCAATTAACCACCAAAAAGCTGGAAGTGGAACTGTGGCTCAAGTGGTAGAATGCCAACCTTGAGTGAAACACCTAAAGGACACCACCCAGGCCCTGAGTTCAAGTCCTAGAACTGGGACCAAACCACCACAAAAACCCTGCCTCTCACCTGCGTGTCTTCCCTCCAGGCCTTAGGACTCCAGAAAAGCAGGAGGTGAGACCAGAGCGCCTCACTCACAACCTTCAGGAAGGTAAGAGTTTGGGGGAGCAATCAAGGAATAGGGAGTGGAGGAGGAGGAGCTGTGGGCTCTGACTCTACCCCCACTTGCTTCTAGTTGGCTATGCAGCACCCCCTTCCCCACCCCGGACACGAAGCTTCTCTGTGTATGAACCTGACACCATTGAGTATGACCTTCCCTTTGAGGAACAGCATGAAGGTAAGGCCCCCACCAGCCCTGCTCAGCGCCCCCTCCAGGTCTCTAACCTCTCTGTTTCCTGCTCTTCTCATAGAGAAGAGAGAGGAAGCCTCAGCTCTCCTATAGTCCGGCTGCTCACACGCTCCTCCTTCTATAGTGCAGCCCCTTCTCTCGCCAAAAGACATCCCTGTGCAGAAGGAAGTGCTGGCCCCGCCCCAAATCCCTGTTGAAAAGAAAGGTGAGCTTGTGCCCACTCCCCGCCTCATCCCTCGGCTGTGTTGATGCTGGTCTTGATCTTCACTCCTGTGTGTGCTCACGTCTGTCTTCCAGCAGGCTCCCATTTCTCTCAGGAAGCAATTTCCCCCCAAGAAGAGCTGCCCCCTCCCCAAAGCTCTACTGAACAGAAGGAAAGTAAGTAACTACTCCCCTACCCCTTACTCCACACACTCACCCCAGAGCTGGCTTTGGAAGCAAACAAGATGGTAGGTTCCGTCACTAAGCAAACAAGATGGTAGGTTCCGTCACTTAGCCGTGTAAGAGTAAAGGAGTTGTTTGAGAAAACAGAGCCTGCTGGATAAATGATGTGATTGAATGACATATAATAACCCCATGCTGAGTTCCTCTTTGCGGATGGCAACCAGTCAGTTCCTGTTTCCTTTGTCTTGTTTTGCTTTGTTTTTGACACCAGACATAGCCCAGGCTGCTCTCAAACTTTTGATCCTCCAGCCTCAGCCTCCCTGGGGCTGAGATCATAGGCTTGCACAACCACGCCTGGCTGATTCCTATTTTCTAGAGATGCCAATCCTAAAGTGAGTTTTGCTCACACATTTCCACCCCAGTTGACCCACCTCCCCCCACCTCAGGAGATCTCCCAATCCAAACAGAGACACGGTGAGTGGCCCATTGATGTCCCTCCCCCTGCATGAGCATCTAGGACCCTGAGGACAGGAGCCTTGGGACATAGCGCAGGGAGCTAAGATTTGAGAGGAAGGATGGTTGTAAGGGTAAAACCTTTCAGGCTTCCATTTTCTTCCTTTTAGTCAGTTATTCCAAAAATAAGCACAGATTCCTTTCTTCCCCAATTCCCTGATGTCCTTCCCAATCCTTTCGCCTCCAGTTCTTTCAATCATGCCCGCTCTCTTGGCTAGCCTTTGTCTGTCCCTCCCTCCCATTCTGTGTTCCTCATTCTAGAAAGGCCAGCTCCCCTCATGAGCCAGAACCCTCCAGAAGAATCTCCATCCTGGAATCCGGCGGAGCACTGCCCGCCGCCGGCTCGCTCTCGGGGCGGCTGGGCCCACCGGCTGGACGGCTTCCCGCCGGGGCGGCCTTCCTCCGACAATCTGAAGCAGATCTGCCTTCCTGAGCGCCAGCACGTGGTGTACGGGCCCTGGAACCTGCCGCAGACCGGCTTCTCCCACCTCAGTCGCCAGGGCCAGGCCCTCAACCTGCTGGAGACCGGCTATTCCCGCTGCTGCCGCTGCCGCAGCCGCGGAACCCGCCTGGACTGTGCGCAGCTCGTGGTAAGGGTTAGGCGTGAGGCCGGCGGGGCCTTGAACCCCGGGCCTACCGCCAGCCTCCCCAGGCTGCCCAAAGCGTAGAGAACAGCACTGGCGTTTGCTCCCTGCCATCCAAGCGACCCTGGGGGGGGGAAGGGGGGAGAGTGGGGACCCCGGGGCTTGCTGGCTGACCCGCACCCCCTCTCGCTCTAGTGGGAGGACACAATGACCCGATTCTGTGAGGCCGAGTTCTCGGTCAAGACGCGACCCCACGGGTGCTGCAAAAAGCAGGGGGAGGCGCGCTTCTCATGCTTCCAGGAGGAGGCGCCTCGGCCGCACTACCAGCCCCGGGCCTGCCCCAGCCAGCAGCCCGGCATGGCCTCGGGCCCCGAGGTGCCTTTCCCCCCCGCGATGCCCACCCTGGATAACGTCAAGAACATCTGCCACCTGAGACGCCTCCGCGCGCTGCCCCGCCACCTGCCGGCCGCAGACCGCCTCCAAAGACAGCTGCAGGCGCTGCTGCGGCTCGAGGGCGACTTCCAGCGCTGCTGCCGCCGGGGCGGCGACCTCCCCTGCGTGTGGAAGGCTGTAAGTGGCCACGCCGCCAACCCCACCAGCCCGCCCGCCTGCTGCCCGGCTCCAGCCCACGTGCCAGCCCGTCCACCCGTGCGCTTCCCACCCGGAGCATGTTCGTCCGCTTCTGACTGTCCGTCCACCCGTTGTGTCCATCTGTCATCCGAATCTGTTCCGTCTCGAGCCTTCATGCTGCTACAGTCCTGGCTTCGTCCACCTGTGACCCCCACACGCGCACCCCCCTCGGCTACCAGCCAGCCAGCTCTGGCCCCCCACCTCGGCCTCTCCTCCTGCTGGGCCAGCTCGTCTCCCATGGCGACAGCGCGCCTCCTCTGTGTCCCCTCCCCTGAGACTTCCCACGTGTCCATTGCTGCCTCCATGCCCTCTGGGTCTTCTTCCTCCCATCTGAGCCCCTCATTGCATAGCTGGGGGTGATAAGAAAGTAGATGGTGAGGAGAGAAGGAGACAAGTAGCTAGGTTTCTGACTCTCTCTCTCTCTCTCTATGTCTCTCCCTCTGTCTGTCTGTCTGTCTGTCTCCCTGCTCCCCCACAGTGGGAAGACACTCTGGATAAGTACTGTGACCAGGAGCAGGCTATAAAGACGCACCCCCACTCGTGTTGCCACTACCCTCCTAGCCCTGCCCGCGATGAGTGTTTTGCCCGTCGGGCTCCCTACCCCAACTATGACCGGGACATCTTGACCCTTGACCTCAGCCGAGTGACCCCCAACCTCATGGGCCATCTCTGTGGAAACCAAAGAGCTATCAGCAAACAGTGAGTCTTGCTCCGATCCTCCCGCCCTCTTCTCCTCCCACAAGTGTCCCTCCTGGGTGCCCTCAGCCGGAGCACATGCAGACCATAAGTGGGTCTTGCAGTACCGGTTAAATGCCACGGCTGACCTCTACCTTTCTCACATCAACCATAGCAAACAGATTCCTGGGCTGATCCAGAACATGACCGCCCGCTGCTGTGACCTGCCTTCTCCAGAACAGGCCTGCTGTGCTGAGGAAGAGGTGTGTGGGGAAGGGGGTACAAGGAAGCAGAGAGAGAAAGCTGGAAGTGAAGGCTACCAGTGTGTGTGTGTGTGAGAGAGAGAGAGAGAAAGAGAGCAAGAGAGTCCTGGAGTTGGGTGCTGTCCCTGAACTTTTTTGGTCAAGGCTAACACTCTACCGTTTGACCATTTGAGCCAGAGCTCTACTTCCAGCTGTCGGATGGTTTATTGGACATAAGAGTCTCACAGATTTTCCTGCCTGGGTTTGCTTTGAACTGTGATCCTCAGCTCTCAGCCTCAAGTAGCTAGGATTACAGACATGAGCCTGCCTCTTCTCTTTACTATCTCAAAGCAGCCTACTAGTAAGGAGGACTAGTGGGAGAGATCTTTTTCTTGGTTCCTGAAGTCTTCCTTCCTGACCTGGCCTGTTCCCCATTCCTAAGCTCCTATGACAGCTTCTCTAGGCCTCAGACATCTGGCATCTCCAGATGTGCACATCTGTCAGTCACAAGGAATCTAGCTATGTGAGGCAGTCTTGTACTATCTCTGGGCCCCAGGAAGAGATCCTAGAGGAGAGCAGGAGCTGACAGAAGAATGACTCTGAGCAGCCCCCCTCCCTTGTACCCGATCATCATTCCTGATCCTTACTCTTCTCTTCAGAAATTTGCCTTTGTCGATGATCTATGTGGTCCCCGACGGAACTTCTGGAAAGATACTGCCCTTTGCTGTGACCTGACTCCTGGGGATGAACAGACCAACTGCTTCAACATCAATTATCTGAGGAATGTGGCTCTAGTGGCTGGGGACAGTGGGGATGCCGCACACCAGGGGGAGCAGAGCCCAACTCGAGGAACAAATAGCAGCCCCACCCCTGGGTCCAAGGAAGAATGAGTCAGCTCAGAGCCTTGGAGGATCAGATGGGGGGAACCCCACCCCGCTCCACCCTCCCTGAACACTCATTACAATAAACACCTCTTGGATTTGGCGTCTTCATTTGTAACATACAAACACACCCTCCTAAGCCTGCTTGGATTTCCTTCAATGACAGATCCACTACCTAGCCCCTACTGACTGAGCAGAAGACGCTCCACGGGCTGTGGTAGGACCAGTGCTAACTGGCTTATCTTTACTACTTGTCATCTTGACCTTATGTATTTGAAAAGGATGCCATTTTGTTAACCAGCTGTCAAAGAGATAGTTCATGTCCCTGATAATTCCCAGTGCCACGGCCCAACATGATATTTTTATTTTCTTATTTTTGATGTTCTTTTGTTCCAGCGCTGGGGCTAGAACTCAGACTCTTGCACTCACTTAGCCCTTTTTTTTTCTCTTCTTCTCAATGGTGGTGCTTTATACCTTGAGCCCTAGCTCCACCTCTGGCTTTTTATACTAGCTAATTGGATAAGAGTCTCACAGAGGAGGGGGAGGGTAATTGTGGAGGTGGGAGGGAAGGGATGGTAGGGGGAAAACAAAGCAGGAGGCAACCATGCTCAATAGGAAATGTACTCATTACCGTGCTCATGTAACTGTAACCCCTCTGTACAATATTTTTACAATAAAAAAAAGATACAATAAAAAAAAGAGTCACAGACTTTTCTGCCCAGACTGGCTTCAAACTGAACAGCTCCTGAACAGCTAGGATTACAGGTATGAGCCATTGGCACCTGGCCCAACCTGGTATTTTCTTTTGCAATCCTGGAGTTCAAATCTGGGGCTTTGAGAATGATAAGTACATGCCCCTACCACTGAACAACATCCCCAGCCCAGCCTAACATTTTAAAATCTTCACTTTGACCCTTGGAGGATCATGTGTTGACTCTAGTATTCATTTTATAGGTGTGTGTGTGTGTGTGTGTGTGTGTACTGGGGCTTTAAGAGCCTCAAGTTCCCCCTTAGCTTTTTTTACTCAAGACAGCATTCTACCACATAAGTCACAGCCCTACTTGTATAGCATTTTACTGGTTAGTTGGAGATAGGTATCTCATGGACTTTTCTGACCAAACCAGCTTCAAACTGCAACCCTCAGATCTCAGTTTCCTCAGACAAACAATGCACAACTGTTTTTTCTATTTGTTTTTTTTTTTGAGGTCTCATTATCTATTCCAGGTTTGGACAATGTTCCTGCCACAGCTTTCTAGTATTCATGGATTGAACTCAATATGTATTGTACAAGATTAGAGAATACATTTTAAAAAAATACACAGCCAAGGCTGGGAATGTGGCTCAGTGGTAGAGTGATCGCATAGCATGCATGAAGCCCTGGGTTTGATTCCTCAGTACCACATAAGCATGAAAAAGCCAGAAGTGGCGCTGTGGCTCAAGTGGTAGAACGCTAGCCTTGAGCACTGATAGACTTATGGACAGTGCCCAGACCCCAAGTTCAAGCCCCAAGACTGGCAAAACAAAAAACAAAAACCCACAGCCAGCCAGGCACTGGTGGCTCATGCCTGTAATCTTACCTATTCAGGAGGCCATGATCTGAGGATCATGGTTTGAAGTCAGCCCAGGCAGGAAAATCCCTAAGATACTTATCTCCAATTAACCACCAAAAAGCTGGAAGTGGAGCTGTGGCTCAAGTAGTAGAATGCCAACCTTGAGTGAAACACCTAAAGGACAGCACCCAGGCTGAGTTCAAGTACCAGTACCAGTACACACACACACACACACACAGCCCCTACCCAGAAGTTATTCAGTCCATGTGATATAAGGCTGTTGAGGATACCAGTGTGCTCTTTTGGAGCAGCTTCAGAGCTTTGAGGATGGCCTCTCAAGGTAGCAAGGTCGGAGGAATAGAAAGTTCCCGGGGTAGTGGCAATAACAGGCAGAAAAGTGGCTTTATAGACCAGCACCAAGGCTGAAAGGACTTTACAGTTGGTGGTCTTCTCACATGTGTCTGACACAAGTTGTTTCAAGAAGAGAGGAGGGTTGATTCCTGCCTCATTCACCTAGATCAAGCAAGACTCCAGGTGCGCACACACGGGCGAGGCCGTATGTGTGTGCACAGACAGGTTGCTTTCAACCTAGGCTTGACTGAAAGTCCCCATCATTCCAGGTGGGACATTCCATTCTGGACCTTAACAAAAGTGCCCAGCCCTAGCCCATCCTCCTACCCCCCTACTCCCCACCCCACCCCCCCACCCCCACCCAGGAATTGCAGCCTGATTTTTACTTATTTGTTTCCTTAAGACCCATATAAACCCGGCTCCAAAATCCATTCCCATGCACAACCTCCAAACCTGCAGGAAGGTCTATGCTACACAGTCCTAGCCTGTTGACAATTGAGTCTGGCCTTCTCCTTTTCTATTCTCCTCTTATCACATATTGCCAAAGATCTGGGAGAGGAGTAACTGGGCCCCCTCCACCTGCATCCTGGACTCCTCTCACCAGCCTTCTACCTTCTCTTTCTGAGGACTTTCTCCATCAGAGCGCAGAGCCCTCTGAGCTTACTTTGGGCTAAACAGCCACCTGAAAGATCACGGGGCCTTTGCCTACATAAGCTGAGCATGCCTGGTGGACGGCCACCCCGCATGGCCTGGGGTATTATTGGCCCCCTGTGTAAACCCAGAGAAGTCCTGATCTCTCCCTATCTTCTCTCTCCCCTTACCCTATCCTGCGACTCTTGATTTCCAGGTGGGAGGCTCTTTGCCACTTGGTGACCGATTCCACCCACCATCTAAAGGTCTTCAGGACAAGGTAACCAGCCATGGTCCTTGGTGCAAGCGCCCTGACCCAGACTCTGAATTCAGAACCTTGGATTTTACTTTTACTGATTTAAACCATTCTCCAACAAAACGATGAGGAGTCCAAGGTCCCCTGCACACAAATCCTCATCCACCTCCACTCCAGACGCCATCCCCTGCTCTCCCGCCCGGCTCACCAAGTCCTTCTCTGTCATAAGCCCCCCCCAGCCATCTCATCTAGAAAGGTAACTTTCCTTGTCTTGTAGCAAGCTCTGTTCCCCTCCTTTCTCTCTGTCTCTGTCTGTCTATCTGTCTGTCTGTCTGTCTCTCTGTCTCTCCGTCCCTTTTTCTCTCTTACAACTTCAGACTAGAGATCATTTGCATCACCTCCATTCCCACTGACAGCACTTTGACATGTACCCTTCAAAGTGAGATGCAGGCAGGGTCCCAGGCCCCCCTTCTAGGTTTCCTCTTAAAGGCTAGCTGTCCTGGATCAGTGGTTCCATAAGTGCAAGTCTTTTCCTCATCCTTGCCATTATAACTACATTCTTCCTCTTGGCAGCTGGTCTAGATCCTCTACGTGAAAACTGTCTGCTCCAAGCATGGAAGCAGTTAGACAGATAGCATATCCACAACAAACCTGATCTTTTTCCCTTCAGGACTCAGGACACTAATCCATTACTTTTCTCTTTCCTGAGTCTACTCACTTCACAATCTAGATTCTTAACTTCTTCCTTAAGGCAAAACACCTCTGTGAGGTTGCTATGGGCCCCTGGAGGAACCCTCCTTCCCCACTTCTCAGCAGGCCCTGGAGATGGACCCCACTAGGTGAGATTTCCTGTCATCTCCACTCTCCTTCCAAGGTTTACCAAAATTGTCTTAAAGGCTTTTCTATTCTGGTTATTTTTTTTGGTGTTTCTAGCATTGACCATGTGGTTCTAAACTTACAGCTGGATTTTCATTTTTTTTTAACTTAAGCATGTCTGAAAACTTTTGTGTACAAGTGCGTATGTGTGAACATGTTCAAAGTAATCTCATTTAATACATAAAAATAGTCACCATGGTGTAAACATTATTTGCTGGGGCTGGGAATGTTTCTTGGAGGTAGAGTGCTTGCCTCACGTACATGAAGCCCTGGGTTCAACTCCTCAGTACCATAAACACAGAAAAAGCTGGAAGTGGTGCTGTGTCTCAAGTGGTAGAGTCCTAGCCTTGTGCAAAAGAAGCTCAGGGACAGTGCCCAGGCCCAGAGTTTAAGCCTCAGGCCTGGCAAAACATAAAAGAAAATTATTTACTTTCTTACTGCAATTGTAACTAATGTAACCCTTGTGTTAAAGAAGTTAACGATCGCGCTGGGAAGGTGGCTCAGTGGTAGGGTGCTTGCCTTGCATGCATGAGACCCTGGGTTCGATTCCTCAGCACCACATAAGCAGAAAAAGCCAGAAGTGGCACTGTGGCTCAAGTGGTAGAGTGCTAGCCTTGAGCTGAAGAG